TATTTATTTATTTATTTATTCTTGGTCAATCACAGAAGGGCAATACACAGTAATTATCCAGTATTTCACATACGATTGACTTAGGTGAGATTCTGAGAGAGAAACTTTCTAATAGGAATAGAAATAGAAAACTCCATAAAGGCTACAACAGTTAGTACCACTTGTTTTTACTGAGCAATATTTTATGCACCGATACATTCACGTAGACCGAAAGGCACTTGTTTTAGAGAACCACTAGCCACCGAGCCCTGAAAATAACCGACGCGCACTCTTTGATGTAAACACGAACCCAAGGAGCTGGCTCAGGGGTGCTTACGAAGGCTATCTACTGGTGCGCAAAAGTGGTTGACGTTGGATGGAGCTATATTATTAATAACGGTCCATATGAATGAAATCAGCGGATAGCGCATTGCTCAAGGGAGACAAAAGCATTTGGATGGCACTTGAAGGGGATGAAAGTACAGAGCTTATGGAGTTTTATTTCTTCCTATTAGAAACCAGCAATCATCAGGGGGTAGAGCTAATTAATAAATCAATCAATAGGTAGAAGTCGTCCAGAATTCCCGGCATGACGGAGCTACTAGGGTGTTTGAGAACATAGCAGAGCACCTGTGACTGGAAGACTGATTAAAATGATCTAAAATAGCAGCGGTTAGAAGGAAATGAAAAATGAATTATCCAAGAGAATCGGAAATAGGGAAAAAACAAGAGAATTGAAAAGAAATATAAATATGTATGTATAAATAGATATACAGCAATTAAGATTGATTGAATTCACTGACACTATACTATGCCCAGAATCTTTTGAATCCTTTGCAATAGATGGCAAATGTTACAGTAGCTGGAACCGAGGAGGTATACTATAGCATGTCGTGGGTGGAAGGGACTACCTCTTGTGATGCCCACGAGGGGAGAGATTCTGAAGAAGTCTGTTAGCTGCAGATCGACTTCGCCTGTGGTCATTTTGTACAAAAAACAAGGTCTGCAACTCTTCTACGTAATTCCAGTGTTTGAGCATTCAATTTCTTCAAGCGCATGTGGTATGGAATTCCAAATAAGCCCTTCCTCATGAAACAGTAAACTCTTTTTGCACGTTTTCGATTTCTTGCACTAAATAAACGTGGGAAGGTGACCAAAGCTGAGTACAGTATTCCATCAGGGGTCTAACGTATATGGAGAACAGCCTGAAAAGGATAACGGGGTCTCTTGACTTGAAAGCTTTGAGTATAAAATTTGCTCTTCTCTTGGCCTTCAACACCATAGCATGGATATACGAACTGTAGTCGAAAGCAGCGGTGTATGTAACACCCAGATCTCGAATAGATTCTGGGTACGCAAGTCTGCAACCGTCTAGAGTAAAGTGTACCTTAGGATGCTTTTTTCCGAAGCCCATAACAAAAGTTTTCTCTGTCGGGACCTCTTACTCCCACTTCTTACACCAGGCGGATACAAGGCTTCCTGCAGTAGGTCACAGTTGTTGACTGTGAATATTTTGGAGTCGTCCGCATACAATGAGCATTGCACCCCTCCAGGCAAACTCTTCGATAGGTCGTCCACAAAAATCAGGAACATCAGTGGGCCTAAGCATGATCCCTGGGGGACTCCACTTGTTGTCTTATAGATTCGAGACATGGCACCATTGATTCCTACTATCTGGGAACGCCCCGTGAGAAAGGACTTTAGAAACTTGTGGAGACAGCCTTGGATACCGTAACCTTGAATCTTGCTCAGTAAGAGTGGTATAGAAATTGAGTCAAAAGCTTTCTTGAAGTCGATATAACACGCAGTGACATAGTTGCCCCTATCTACCTCCCTATGCCATAGGGGAACAGTCG